TTGCTAATCAAGCACACAGCCATATCTACTTATGACCCTTCGGTCTGTTCTCGTTAACCTTAATCCAGTGACAAGATGCTAGCAGACACAGTGCTATCAATACTGTGACTTCCCCTCCTTCCAGCTAATTTGGTTTTGTACATAAGGATCCGTCCCTGAATATTTTCTAGATGGGTTAAAAAGATTTCTAGTGAAAAAGTTTCATTTTATCTGACAGACACAATGCCATTACTGTAACTAAACTCCTTCATTTCCTCCTTTGGCATTGAGCTCCCATTTACTGTTTCTTCCTATCTGTTAATACCAGGGAATGCAAGAGGTTTAATCATCAAGCGTAATCAGACCACACAATCAACCTGATCCCATGAAAACAGATGGATACTATATAATAAAAAACACAGCACTGCACATCACACATACTCAGAATACTCATGCATATGCATATTGACATGTCACTTATGGGAAAAATGCTTCATGAGCTAACAGGCAAAATTGTTACTGCCATAAATATGAACACAGTTGCATTTTGCACTAGCACTTTTCCCTAGGACATTGCTAAGGAAGCCTGAACGAAAAACAATTTCTCCTGATTCCCAGCCTTATGCATTAATCAAACACCTTTCTCACCCACTTGAATTTTATAGGCCTGGTTCAAATGAATAAAGAGAAACATATGTTTCCCATAGGGTATTACTTGGTCTCCTTCCCAATGGATCATTAACAATGTTTAGAATGGTTCCTGAAACAAGTCACAGAGTGTCTATAGTGAGCTAAGAGTATAGCCTCATTATAGCATATCTTCAGTCATAATGACCCATCCCAAATGAGCAAAAGGTTCAGGAAGAGCTAACAAGTCACTGGAAATATGGAAAGTGTTTTCTGTGAAATGTGATTGAAGAGATCAGCCCCATTTTCCTTAGGAAGACTAATAAGGGACAATCAAATATACCAATCATAGAATCACAGAATCAGTTGTGTTGGAAGAGACCTCAAAGATCATTGAGTCTAACCCTACCATCATTACTAGACCATGGCACTAAGCGCCACATCCAGTCTCGTCTTAGAAACCTCATTATGGCATGGATGACTTGGACAGGAAAATGTT